CCGCCAACTTCGCCGCGGCCCCCCCCGAACTTTGGGGTGGGCTCCGGGGGAGGGGGGGGTGTGTGTGTGTGAAGCCGCCGCCTCCATGCGATCCTGCAACTTTTATCCCTTATTTTTTTTAATCCTTTTTTCCTATTTTCGGCGGAATCTGCCCAACTTCCCGCGCGTAAATAGGGTATCCAATGCCCCTCAGTCCATCTTGGGTTTCTTATTTTTTTTCCTCTCTTTTTCTCTCTCTCTCTCTCTCTCTCTATTTTTTTTTTTTTCCCCTCCCCCTGAGAGTTTTGGGGCCGTTTGGGCCGGATCGGGCCGGTCTGAGCCCCTTCCCCCCCCACTTCCACGCGGTTCCCGCCGCGCGGTACCTCCCCCCGCTTCGCATCCTCCCCKCTTTTTCCTCTGTTTTCCCCCCATAAAACATGCGGGAAGCGGCGGCCCTGGCGCGCGCGGTGCCGAAACGGCCCCGAAGTGATGGGAGGAGTGCCCAAAATTCCCGATTCCCGCGTGCGCTTCCCGAATCCGTGGCAGGTTCCCCTGGAAGGCCTAGTTGCGCTCTGAGGTTGGAGGATGCCCCTGGGGAAGTTTCTTAAAACAAAATAGGGCCCCTCTGCTTTCTAAAGCAAACAGAATCTCAGGACTTTATTTGACAAATTCGACTGCAAGTTTAAAGCTGTTTCCCTCCGTCATGGAGGAAAGTGGCTTTAAAATCCTGCTTAAAAGCAGTGGAGGGGAACCTGGAGTCACGTTAACAGCCTTTCCGACGTGTAGGGCGCTCCGTGGTACTTAAAATAGTATAAAGTTTATTGGATGCTCCTGGTTATCTCAAAGCATGAGCTCTTCATGGATCACTAGTTGTTTCGAGAGCACGGGGAAGTTATTTCGTTGTGCGGAATTAACCTGCTTCACCCAGTGCTAAAATAGGATTSAAAAGTAAAGGTAATGTTAGATATTTGTGCGCGGTTATTAGGATTTGGGAATGCTTGGGGCGCGCGGGGTCGCGGTTTTGGTGTATGAGGGAAGCACTAAGTGGTGGAGGGGAAGTTGTTTTTTCCCCCGCTCCGTGAGATTCCCGGTTCGCGCTCTCCCTCCCGGTGTGCTCGGGCCTTTTCTGGAAGCGGGGCGTTTCGGTTGCGGAGCTGCCCTGGCCTCGCCGTGCCCGTGTTTGTAGCCGCTTGTGCCGTTTCACCGCGTTGCGGGCGCCGTGCGGAGCCGGGGAGGCACCGCGGTGTTGGGATGCTCGAGTTTCTCCTGTAGATAACCCGCGTTTTGCAGCGTTTGAGACGTGCCCTGAGGAAGGGAAGCTGTTGCGCGCCATTCAAAAAGAGGTAGTTCCGTGCCTTCAGAGCACAAATAACTGCAGTTCTGGTTCAAATGCAATACAATCCACGTGCTTAGCAGCCTCYGAGTTGTTTTAGGCGAAGCGATGCTCGTTAAACTGACAAGTGGCTTGCTGTCCTCTCCGAAGGTGACGGAGCTGGTGCTCGATAACTGCCGATCCAGCAATGGCGAAATAGAAGGTCTGAACGATTCATTCAAAGAGCTGGAATTCCTGAGCATGGCCAGTGTGGAGCTGACGTCGCTGGCCAAGCTTCCCACGTTGAGCAAGCTCCGAAAGGTGAGGCCGCGAGACCGTGCCGCTCGCCGAGGCGCCCGCGACTCGGTGCTTCCCATCTGATTCCCGTCCCGCTGGAAGCGTTGGGGGAGCCCCAGGGATGGTGCTGGTCTGCAGGGTTTCTTGGGGAGGCGTAAAATCGTTTGGGGCATCTCGAGTTAATTATGTCCAAATTACTTGTGGTTAACAACTTAAYAGCCAATGCTTGTTTGCTAAAAATGTGAAGGTTGGTTGTGTCTTTGGGGATGCTAGTGGTTGATAACGYGTTTTTTTATCTTTGGACACTGAAGTATGTTTGCGTGTTGCTGGCAAAATAAAGGCTCGCGGTGAGTTCTAGTCCTAGGTATGCAACTAAACTAGAGTTTAGGTGTCAAAAAGCTATGAGGATCATGAAAGATTCCTTAAAGTTACATAGCAAATTAAAGGAACTTCCTGGCTGTGAAAGCACCAATTAACACAACTAACGTGTGCTGACTTTGGGACTGATGARCTTTGTGATTAAACTGCAGAGTGAAAGGGGAGAATGCTGGAAAACAAAGGACTCTGAATCTGATAGCAAAGGATGCAACCATTTAACTACATAATTCTTTCTGTGTGATAGCTGGAATTGAGCGACAACATAATTTCAGGAGGCCTGGAGGTCCTTGCAGAAAGATGTCCAAATCTCACGTATCTAAATCTAAGTGGCAACAAAATCAAAGATCTTGGCACTGTGGAAGCTCTTGTAAGTATGAGGTGACGGGGCTAATTGGAAATTTAATTAATATTTATTTAATAAATAATATTTTTCATAGGGAAGAATGAAAAGATTTTTGCAGTGGGGTACAGGAGTTGCTGTCAGGGCTGTTGGTAAGATGTCTTTAAAAGTTTGATAGATTAAGTGTGATTTAAGTTAATGTTATATAAGGAATCAGCAGATACAAAGATAAAATGTTATATGTGTTTTAGCTGCTTAATGCCCCTTTTAAGCACAATTGAAATCCTGAAAAACCAAGTTTTGCTTCTTGCCTATATTCTGTATTTTTTGTCTTGCCAGTTCAGGGAAAAATTGGTTATGTGGTGTTAGGTTTGTGAGTATTCCAGTGAGTTCTGACTCCATTAACTCAAGCTCGTGGTTATTAGAGACACCACTTGTAAATGCCCCATTGTAAAATTCTTCCCGCATTAGTAACGGGATGTACTGAATAAGGCATTTTTGAACTTCTGTTTTGTCTTTGATAGAGAACTGGCCAAGTTTTGTATTGCTGATCCTCTGTGTTCACTGGTTAAAATATAATTTGCCTAAAAAGCAACTGCTGAAGCTTTTATTAAACTGCAAAGTGATGAGGATGTGGGTATGGGGCAGTTGTTGAGGAGCCGGCCTGGAGAGCACTGGGATAGGTTATTTCACTGTAGAAGGAAGCTGCCAACATCTGTCATTACCAACTCTGGGCTTTGCACCCATCTTGCCACCTAAATGGCCTTTTTTAGGACTTTTTAGTCTGTGTATATTTAGGTCTGCTCATAGATGCTCTCGATCTGCATTCCCAGCACT